TACCTAAACAACAAGCTAACAACCGAGGCAAACAAGGGAGAACAACTAAACACAGCCAAAAAGCAACAACTACCAAACGACAAACCAACAACGAGAGAAGAAACGAGCTTACCCCAAACTCCGGCCTAGGAGGAATCATCCTTCGAATCCTCGGCATCCTTGTCCGAATCCTCCTCAGCTCCACCACGGCTAGAACCGGCCTCCAACCTATCTAACATCTAATTGACGGTAACAAACTGAGCCTTCATGAAAGAGAAGCCTTCCTCAATCATCCGATTCTGCTGACGGAGAAGGGTCACCACCCGTTCCTCGTGTGTCATGGCATCATGTTCTTTCTTGGTCCTCAGTTCCTTCATCCTTACGTTCTCTTCGCTCTCGGAGTCACTTTCCTCGACCTCCTCTGCTTCTCTCCCTTCTTATTCTTCTCCTCTCTCTTCTTCGCCTTCGTTCTCAGCATCTCCACCCAAGCTCTGCACCGCTAGGTTCAACTTTCCAACTGGAATCTCAAGCTCTTCAACTAACGAACTCCTCTCGGCAGGGGCTTTCCTTGCGACCTCTTCAAGAGTGATGTAGTCACCATCATCCAACTGGAACATATTGCAACTGCAGAGATTTGTGGCATCCAGAACTTTCTTGCCTACCGGCTTGGGCACATAACCTTCAACACTCACCCCCTTCCTAACAAAGATCCAACTTAAAACCATGCCATAAGGCAAACTCTTCCGGTTATGATCTCTACAATAGACCATATGTTGCAACATCAACGCAGGCAAGTTGAACTTCACTTTGTATTTCAGACAGAAAGCAAAGGTGCACTCCAGCTTACCCAACAAACGACTCTTATTGTTGTTAGGCAACAAACAATATGAAACGAGCATTACCAAAATCTTTTGCTTGGCAGAAAGCCACTTCCTCTCCGCCCTCGTGGCCTGGGTGAACCCACTAGTTCTTCCCAACAGATAACTCAGGTAATTCTGATAACTCATGCTGCTTGTCTCAATCCAAGAGTCACCACTGTATTGTGAGACTCCCGTAACCGTCAAACTCAAAAGCTGAGCCAACTTTTTCTCGGTTAAGGAAATTTTCACACCTCCCACCTTAGAGGTAATTTCCAATTTCCCACCATCTTTGGTCACACTCATGTGACGGTAGAATTCCTTTACCAAACTCTGGTAAGTCTCGGTCCTAATTGCGAGATACCCATCTAACAAACCTTGGTAATTCAACAACTCCAACAAAGAACTCGAAATAGAGTCGAGATCAAAAGCTTTACCTTCCAAAACTAGGTAATGGGCATCCACCCATTCCACTCTTCTCGCAGATTTGGACTTCCTAGGCATGATTTGAGATGACCCAAAACCAAGGTAGACCCAACTTCTTCTCCCTTTCTTCTTCTTTCTTGTCGGCTCCATGGCTTCGATTCCAGCTGGACGACGGCAAGGCGGCGACGGTGAGCTCCGGTGGTCGGTGCAGTGGCGACGGGCGGCTAGGGTCGACGGGCAACTGAGGTCGACGGGCGGTGGTGGTGTGCTCGGCTGAAGCTCACGGGTAGGGAGAGAAAAGAGAGAAGGGTTTTGGGGAAATTTGGGGAAAAGAAGATTTTAATTTGGGGATTTTTGGGTAGGTTGGAAATTATATATTAAAAGGGATTTATGTGTGATAAAATTCAAGAAGTACAATAAGTCTAGATGGTTTAAGGGTTGGGTTAGAAACTTGAAGACCCGGGTTCGAAACCGCCAACTCGTGAGCAAAGCTCAAGTAACAAACCACCAATCTCAATCATAGTCACACAAGGTCATCATCAACATACGATCACCTCATAGGAATCATACTCAACACCAAATGATTGTCAATCTCAATACGAAGGAACAAACCACACATACTAGCATGCTTATCAAACGGGTAAAGTTCCCAACACACCATACCGAGACGAAAGAATCACGGGGAACAAATTCCCGACCAACACTAATAACGTACCCCACGGGTGGACCTCCACCTGCGGGTACACACCCGAGGAACACCGATAAAGAATCACGGGGAACAAATCCCCGACCAACACTAATAACGTACCCCACGGGTGGACCTCCACCTGCGGGTACACACCCGAGGAACACCGATAAAGAATCACGGGGAACAAATCCCCGACCAACACTAATAACGTACCCCGCGGGTGGGGCCACGGGTGGACCTCCACCTGCGGGTACACACCCGAGGAACACCGATTCCCGGCGGGTAGGGCCTTGCCCGCGGGTACACCCTCCTGTACACATAATCCCTTCGGGGATTTTCAACAACAAGGCCAAGTTCAAGTCCAAAACACCCAAAATCTCACACACAACAAAAATATAACTTGAACCCAAGAAATAGCCAAGCAATGGCATTCAAGAACCCTAAGAACAAGCTCTAAACATGTATCACCACAAACCCTAAGAACAAGCTCTAAACATGTATCACCACAAGATAATGTATCAAATCTCACAAATCAACACAAGAATCACAAGTAGAAGCCAAGAATCATCATATAAGCAAGAAAATAGGTTTTGTAAAGCATGGGTTACCTTTGTAGCCTAACAACTTCCTCTTTTCACCCTTAAAAGCTTTTCCTAGAGCTCCTCTTCCACACCAACTTCTTACACACAACAAACACAACAAAGATCCTAACTTTAGAAAAAGACACCTAAAAAAAGGTTAAAAACACCAAAAAGCTAAGGATCTTACCCTTTCCTATGCTCAAGATGAAGAAAGTAGGAATCTTGGAAGAAAATCTTGCAAGGCTTAGATGCTCAATTTCTACTTGGAGAAGAAGCTAAATCATTTTAGAAAGAGGCTAGAGTTTTTGAGTTTTAGGTTGAATGATGAATGAAATGAGAGAGTCTTGCTAGGTTAGCTTGAATCACAATTCTTAGGTAGAAAGACATTCCTACCCTTACTAATGTTGGAAAGACAAGGGAACAAGGGCACAACTCAAGAAGCACAAGGTACAATCCTTTTGACTTAAGTGACTAGTCAAAATCTAGTCCCTCGACTATTAAATTTCAGGATTTTTAGAAATAGATTAGCAAGGAAACTTGGATTAATTCTTCAATTAATCCTCGATTAGTGTTTGGATTTACGGGGTGTCACACCAATTATGAGGATTAGTCGCTGATTCATTGGAAGGACTTAAATTCCAAGTGGTAATGAATTCGTGGTGGATCCCACTTCTGTGGTCAAACGAAGCCATGAAAAGAGTTACAAAATAGTACACTAGTTGGTCATTCCGACAGTGTGTGTACTTGTGAGGTTGAGCTACAGCTCTTAATGAATTCATAACTCTTTGAGAAAAGGGTGGTTTTGCTGATACAAACCTAATGAATTCACCGCATAATGACATGAGTACAAAGTGCTCTTGGTGACTTATACTCCATTGAGATGGTCTATGTTGAGGTAGACCTAAAGAGATCCCTAACTTGAGTAGAAAAGGGCTAACCGCCTCTTATGAAAGATAATGAAGTTATCCCAAGAAGCTGAATCGTGATAACCGTGCAGTTGTGGGGGTGTCCAACACCTCCACCACATTGTGGTTCACAAACTGTCGTTTGCGTTGCAAATAACAGTGCCTATGATAGAAAGAAAAGACTTACAACTGATTTATGTCTTTAACTACTCTATAAGCCTTTAATGGTAGTCTATACTAAGATAGACTTGATAGAGTTAAAAGTCTATAGTGAGATAGACTTGATAAGACATAAAAATCTGTAATGCGGTAAGACTTGTTAGAGTTAAAAGTCTATGTTGTGATAGACTTTGACAAGGTAGAAGTCTATATTTGAGACAGACATAACATTCTTTAATACTAAGGGTGTTCATAAGAAGTCAAAGAGTTTGACTTTTGTAGAACCTGCCTTTTGAGTTGGTGTGTGCATTCGAGTTCAAAATTTATCTAACCGGTGAGTTCAAGATTCATATCACTCTTAGGAAGAAAATTACTCAATGTCACTACGTGTCAGTTCAAGTTCTCAAACACTGACATTAAGATCAACTCATTTCTATTGCTCAAACATTATCCTTTCCAGTCTTCTACTTTGAATGTGTGGGGGATTGTTGGAAACATTCAAAGCTAGCTAAGGTTTTGGGTGTTGATACACGTGTCAAATTCTTTCCCCTCCCTTGCGCTTTTGCATGGCTGAAACCTTAGCAGGCTGTTGTATAATTCACTATATAAACAACACTTGTTATTGAGGAAAGACACACTCGATCAAAGATATATCTTCTTCTTCTTTCCTTCTCGTGTGGAGACTAATATATATTATATAATATATATTATATAAGACATATATATATATATATATATATATATATATATATATATATATATATATATATATATATATATATATATATATGTATGTATGTATGTATGTATGTATGTATGTATGTATGTATGTATGTATGTATGTATGTATGTATGTATGTATATATAATATATAATTTCGTGTTTGCCTATTAAAGTCTGAGCAATAGTGAGGTTCGCCTACGTGATTGCTAGTGTAAGCTATCCGTAGTAGGTCTGTGTAGCCTGTTGAAAGCATTCCAGGGTTCTAACTGCACTGTTACCAGGCAAATAACATTTTTAAGGTAGTGTTATTATAACACGACACAGTTTTCTTTCAACCATACACCCTTAGTGTCCGTGCTTCTTAAAAAGCTTCCAGATCGTGCGTTGACGTTGCGAATATTTCCCAACAGTTTTCTCTCAACCTCCTTCACTTCTGCATTTCTTTCAGCAACAACTTTAGACATTCACTACAAGAAAAATCACGAATCGCGACGAAAAATTGCGACGGACAATATTCCGTCGCAATTTAGCAACCGAAAATGCGACCGAAAACATTCCGTTGCAAAATGACGATGGAAAAGGCGACGGAATCTTGATTCATGTGAGTTTAATTAATTTTAAGTTTTTTAAATATATATACCTTTGCATATATTTTGTACTAATTTTTTTTTACATATTTTAGGAACAAGTTGCATCGCAACGGGAGATGTTGACAGAAAATGGGGAGTAAGTGGATGATAATCAATTATACTATGACGCAGTTGGTGGATACAACAAGAAAAAAAGAATTTATGGACTTGGTTCATATGGTTGTTCTAGTTGTTAATGGTCCGACTAATGATAATTGTTGTTTATTAAGACTATTACAATGTTGTTTAGACTTTAATTAACTATTATTATGTATTATATGTTCATTGATAATGTATTATTACTTAAACTTAATGTAGAATTATAATATACTTCTTACTTTATTTTAGAATTAATAGTGTTTTTTATATTAATATTTTAATAACATTCATTACAATTTAAAATCATAATTTTATTCCTAAATAATTCAAAAAAATGCGACGGAATATTTGTTACAAAAAATGCCATGGAAAAAATTTTGTCCTTTTTTTTTGCGACGGAATTGGCAACGGAAAAGATAATATGGCAACGGAATATTTAGTTCAGATACGGCGACGGAATTAGCGTCGGAAAAAATTTCGTTGCGAAAATTGCAACCGAATTGCGATGGAAAAAATTTCGTTGCAAAATGGCGACGCCTTATTCCGTCGCGAATTCCGTCGTCAAATTTTGCGACGGAACTATTCCGTCGTCTTTCAAAATACGACAAGGCAATAGACGACGGAATAAATTCCGTCGCGAAACACGATTCGCGATTTTTCTTGTAGTGATTCCAAACATCTGAGAGAAATTGTTATCCGGGATCAATAACCATGCAAAACTGTTCTAAATTCAAATATTAATTATAGTACTCCGTAACATATAGGTCATATACAGTCACACATAATTAGAAGTTGAAAACAAACCTTCTGGATAGTTTTCTTGAAGCAGGAATTGTTATGTCCCGTATTTAATTTCAACTATACATATACAATTATTTTATTGACAATTATAATCAATCTTGACTATATTATCTTGCATTTATAAACTTAGAATTACCAATTTAAATACGTAATTCAACATTCAATTATCTATACATGAACAATTCTAATATAATCTTGCATTGATTTACTTTAAAATACTCATTTAAAAAAAAAACATTGAGCATTATCCCAATCGCGCCTAAAAAACTAGTTATGCAATAAAGGTTAAAAATAAAAATGGACGAGGCTCTTACAAAATATAGGATAATTTCTTACAAAAATTTACCAAGGATGTCCATGCAAAATTTCTCATTCACGGAACTGACCCCAAGAGTCTACTCATCAAACATAGTTGGCGTTGCAGGCTGCCTTGCTTCTCAGTTCGTTCTCTCAGCGATCAGCCATTCGATTGCGCTGGGGAAGTGATGTCTTCTTCCCAAACCGGAAAGTTGATGCCGAATCTGGACGAACGGAGCACCAAGATGCTCAACCTCACCGTTCTCCAGAGAATGGATCCCTTTATTGAGGAGATCTTAATCACCGCCGCTCACGTTACCTTCTACGAGTTCAATGTCGACCTTAACCAGTGGGTTCGTTCTTCCATTCCTTCTCTTTATTAGTTTTCGTCTTTTTAGAATAAGTGTGTATCATCAGTGTCCATGTTTAGATTGATAATTTTTTTTGAGCTAAATTAGATATCCGCTGCTTTGGTTGTGGTTGAAGTTGGCAAATGAACCTCAAAATTCGAGCTTCCGTCGAACTTAGATAGTGTCTCTACATGTGTGTTGAAGACTGAACATTGGAAATATGCATTGTGTAAAGTAAGCTCGAATTGGTTCATTATGCGTTGTGTAAAGCAAATATGCATATGTCTATGGTGCGCATGAAAGGGTATTGAAGTGTATGTTTGCTCACTGTTAGGGTTGAGATTGAACAAATTGGGGGAAAAAAAAGCTCCTAAGATGAATGAGACTGTCATATGTTTGTGTACTTTGGGTGAGGGTAATGCCAAAACACCAAATTCTATTTACAGTACAATTTATTTAACAGGACAGGACATGTGTAACCAAGTTTTCTTCTATAGTGGTTGCAAACTATTTTGATGAGAATATGTAAAGCCAAGTGAAATTTCCATAAATTGTTGATTTTTTTAGAATTTAGATATCATAACCAGCATATTATACTACAATTTTAATAATTCTGTTGTTCTGTTTAGTCCATTGAGAAATGAAAAGAAGACTAGATCTATACTTTGAAGTACAAATCCAGTAAGACAATCCATCACCTTCCATTTTCTTCTTGGATGCATTCCTGTGAGGCAGTAATCAGTGAGCATATTTTAGCTTCCTTTACATCAACGTTAAACACATTATTGATTATATTCTTACTGAACAAACCATCAAAATATTCAAAATGAATTGGGGCATGAAAGTAACTTAAAAACCTGTAGTTGGCCAAGTAGCGAGGAAAGTAAAAATTGATTGGGCTAAAATTTCTGCGGTATCACCATAGCCTGGCTATAGAAAAATTGACTTACCTGTTCCTTGCTATTTATTTTTCTGGGGATGGAGGCTTGGGGAAGGTATTACCAAAGTTAAAAGTGACATGAAATGGGTTAGAGTGGGGAAGAATTCAATTTGTATACATGGATATTCTTTTTCCACTTTACTGGAAAAAATAGTAATTTTCCCTTGGATCAGCATATCACTCTTAATACAACAATCACACATACAAGTATGTAAAATTCTTCTTTTACATAAATTTTATTTATCTTTTAATACATAACTTTCCAGGGATTTGAATATTGCCTTTGATAAATCCCATCTTCAAAAGAACACTCAGAAAAAGACTGCCTCTCGGTGTTGGACAGTCTTTTATTATATGTGGTTTTTTGGTTTTGATGCAGAGCCGTAAGGATGTTGAAGGTTCTCTCTTTGTAGTTAAAAGGTACATATGCATTCATATTATTTGTATTCTAGTGTTGTGGTATTTAAACATACATACTTGTGTTTGCTTTCTTCCAAAGTGGGTTTCTTTTTCCAATTGGTAAACTAAGACTCTAGGGGTTTAAAGTTTGAGAATGTTATTTACTCGGGCGAACTCACGCGTCACAGGGCGATTAGGGTTATTGGGGGTTGCCTATGTTGAGACTTGAGAGATGAATTAAAGGATTTAGAGAACAAGATACTAGGAATGTTTTGAGAGTTTTCCCACCTCTGGTTTTATCTTAACTTCTTGCTTGCGTGTCTTCTTTATTAGAATGAAAATTCCCTTTATATAAGAGGGTTACAAAGACTAAATAAAACATGAAAAGGAAAGGAAAATCATTAAGGCTCCCTACTATAATTATTTGCTATCTCTAAAGGAACTAAATCAATTCTAGTAACAAAGATGTTTTAAAATCAACTAGTCAATCAATAACAAAGATACTTTAGAATCAACTAGTCAATCAATAACAAAGATACTTTAGAATCAACTAGTCAATCTCTTGATTTCTTACCTTGATTTGCTGAATCATAACATTACTTCCCTCCAGGACATCAAGCTTGTCCTCAAGCTTGAAATCAGAAAAAGTGGGAATGGATTATTTTGGCGCCGTTGGGTCAATTGGCTCATCGTCCCCTTTGCCATTAAAGCCAAGTACGTATAGTTGTTTGCAAAAATGGCCCTTTACCCATGGGTCATCACAATTATAATAGAGGCCTCACTTTTGGCGTTCCATCATCTCTGTCGGGGAGAGTTTATGGATTCAAGGAGCATGTGATTGTGGCTGTTGATGCACTTGTGGCTGTTGGTGCACTATTATGGCGCAAGTGGGGGGTGTATGGGATGGGAAAGGTTGTTGGGGAGGTGCATGGTGAAGGAGGAGGCCTTTACGAGCATAATCACTTGCTATGTTAATGGCTTCATCAAGAGAAACTGGCCGCATCCTTTCAACATCTATACGTAGCACCTCATCCAAGCCTGTTGTGAATAAACTGATCTGTGGGGAGTATAGGACGTTGCTAGCCCATGCTAGCAAGAGTTGGAAATCATCAATGAATTCTTCTAAATCCCGACCATGTTGTTTGAGGCTTGCTAGTTCACCTAACGGGTTGATGCTCCAGGGTGGTCCAAAACGGAGGGTGCAGATGTCTTTGAATTGATTCCAAGAAAATTGGTGACCATACTGCATGCAATGTTTGTACCACAGTTGGGCGCTATCGAACAAATAATACATTGTCGTGGTAACCTTCTCGTTGTTGAAAAACAAAGGGTTATGTCTGTCTATAGGGTTGTGTATGTTTATGAATAGGTGCTTAAATTAACAGTTATGTGTCTGTATATATATGTATTATGTTTTTTCATTAGAAACATAGAATTATAGAAATATATTGTAACCTTTCAGTATTATATGCATTTTTCTCATTCCTAGATTCTTCATCTTTTCTTCTGCTTTCTCCACCCGCTAGGCCTTTGGATCTTTCAAATTCAACACTCGTGATCGACATGTGGCGAGTTTTCAAAGAATAGCTCACAACGGTGAAGCCAAACAATAGGGTCTCCTTTGCCATCAAAAGTGAGGAACTCAAGTCTGGTGAATCATGTAGCAAGATGCGGCATTGCGGTCTTCTAAGTGGCTTGGTTGCCATGAGCCTGCGGTGTGAGGAAAGATTCCATCCGCTTGGCGAGTTTGGCTATAGTCTCAAAAAGCAATTCTACGCTCGTAGTTGTTGAAAAACAAAAGGTTATGTCTGTCTATAGGGTTGTGTCTGTTTATGAATAGGTGTTTAAATTAACAGTTATGTGTCTGTATATTTATGTACTATGTTTGTTCATTAAAAACATAGAATTATAGTAATATGGTAAGACCCTGTTTAAATTAACACCAGTTGATTGACTTAATTGGCATTCTCGGTGTTCATACTTTTATTTTATTCTTTGGGTGTATTTGCATTACTATGGGCTCTACTACATCCCTTTACTGCTCATGCTTTGTTTGCTCTGCCGCTCTTGATTAAGATTGTTGTTGGTAAGTCCTAGAGTGCTTATGTTACTGTGAGACTGTTCATGTTAAGCTTCGCCCTTGGTGCATTCATCTTCATTCCCAAGGGTTGTGCATAGCGTCGTCTCTCTGAAGCCATCCAACACTGTTATCCTCTAGCTGCATTTAATCTTCATTTGTAATTTAGAGTAAGGTGGAGTGTATGTTTTAATTCAAGCCTGGACCTTCTAGATGTTCCAGCTTGAGGGGGAGTTTCTGCTTATGAATTGGTGCTTAAATTAATAGTTATGTGTCTGTATATATATGTACTATGTTTCTCCATTAAAAAACATAGAATTATGGTAATATATTGTAATCTTTCAGTATTATATACATTTTTCATTCCTTGATTCTTCATCTCTGCTTCCGCTTAATTGACGGGTGGTTGTTATTCTCTACCCGCTAGGCCTTTGGATCTTTCAAATTCAATAGTAGTAAGGTGCTCAAACTTTTGGATGGATGTTTGAATAGCCTGTACGTCGGCTTGTAGTTTTTAATATCGCCCATGTTGACGCTTGGCAATGGAATTAAAATGTTATGTACTCGAGCAAACTCACGCGTCACACGACGATTAGGGTTATCGGGGGTTGTTTGCGGGTTGCCTATGTTGAGAGATGAATTAAAGGAATTAGGGAACAAGATACTAGGAATTTTTTGAGAGTTCTCCCACCTCTGGTTTTATCTTAACTTCTTGCTTGCTTGTCCTCTTTATTAGAATGAAAATCCCCTTTATAGGGGGTTACAAAGACTAAATAAAACATAAAAAGGAAAGGAGAATTATTAAGGCTCCTTACCATAATTATTCACTATCTCTAAAGGAACTAAATCAATTCCAGTAACAAAGATATTTTATAATTAAGTCAACCAACTGGTCAATCTCCTGATTTCTTACCCTGATTTTCTGAATCATAACAGAGAAGGAAGTGCCTTGCAATGTCCTATATAGTATGCTTGTTAATAATCCACAAAGTAGATGATTGGATTACTTAAATGTTATGTCCATCTTGATGTCTTGTTTTGTTAGTTGTTTTCCATTCTATTCTATGGGTTCCTGTTTTTTCTATAGATTGTAGCGTTATGGAGAATGGATAACCAAATACAGTTGTTTTGGTGGCCTTATTTTAGGAACGCTCAGCCAAGGTTCCAGTTTGTTGTTATGAACCGCCGGAATACAGGTTAGTTTAATTTGTTTGCTTTTGATCTGCATTGTGCATTTGTGCCTCCTTTATTTCCCTGGTTGAGGTGATTCAAGATTTCACAGTGTTATCAACGTGGCGGTGCTTTTTAGGATATACAATGCCTGGACATACTTATTACTAGGAAGTGCTGAATAATTGTGCTGGCTTTTAAGATCTTTGATCTTGATTCATAGCATTTGACTGAGCTTGTGCTCTGTGGCATCTGACTAATCAGCCTGAAGGGCTTATAGTAGTTTTTAAAGTGTTTTTTGTGTGTGTCTAGTAGAATGACAACCGTGTACCCCAATATGAATTCCTAGCATCACTACAAGCTTTGATTGTATAAGAATGTGGGTAATATGGAATTTGGTTTACAAATCGAGAAACTGTTATCATTCCCCCCACCCCCCTCATGATTCTTTTTACTCCCTCCGTCCCATTTTATGTGTTTGGTTTTAATGAGGCTTGACTGGAGTTATTTTTAATTCAATTTTTCATAATATTAAGTTTAGTACTAGTATACAAAACTTATATATTTAGAAACTACACTAAAAGTACTACTCCGTATTAAACAGAAAAAATCAAATTTAAAAATAAGTAAAAAATACTAAAGAAAATAAACAAACAAGAAAGAGTTGATTTGACTAATGAATAGTAAATATGACAGATAAAATGGGATAGAGGGAGTATTTTTTTTGTTGTGGCCCAATCCATTGTTGTTAAGGAGTCCGATCGGTGGAGACCGGTCGCCTAACGAGCCCGCCTCGCCTTAAAAAAGAAACCCCTACTAATACGTAGCTGAGAGCCTAAGACGCTAACTCCCCCCTCCCCCTCCCCCTCCGAGTCTCGCCTTAGTGGTTGTTTACTTTGTTTTATGACAAGTTATGGCTTAGAATGAAAATAACCCCAATTATGATCCATCAAAGGATCCTAAAAGGAAGGTTAAATCAAAAGACCCATGCTGGAAATGGTAAATTATTGCATAATTTAGTACTTATTATTGAGATTTGAGAATATGTTTATTTGGTAAAATGCTAAATTATGAATTGATATATATATATATATATATATATATATATATATATATATATATATATATATATATATATATATATATATATATATATATATATATATATATATATATACTCATCGCCTAGGCGACTAGGCGGTCGGTGGCACCTCGCCTTGAAAGTCCGCCTTAACAACAATGGTCCAATCCTATCTCAAGATATGGAGCTTGAGATGGTTTCTTTAGTCCAGCCAATCCTATCATGTTTTCAACCCAGCCTTGCTTGAACACGCCTTGCTCATTGCTCTCTAAAACTTGATATGTGGCAAATGTGCATTAATTTGACATGAATACTGAGGCGTGTCATCTGCCGCCAAATGGTGCTTTGGGAAAATTGTACACTGTATGCCGACTCTGTGTTTTTGATCTCTTTCTAATGATAATGTGTATGATTTTGTCTTTGATATTAACAGAGAATCTGGTGGAGGATCTCTTGGGAGATTTTGAGTTTGAAATTCAGGTTCCATATCTGTTGTATCGTAATGCAGCACAAGAAGTCAATGGCATCTGGTTTTACAATTCACGTGAATGTGAGGAGGTTGGAAATCTATTTAGTAGGTAATATGTTATCAAATCTGATTTTGTATAGTCTTTAACTGTATGTGTCGGTAGTAGTTACCTACTTATGGGAATGCTTGTGATGTGTATACGTATGACATATGCATATACTATGTATGCATAAAGTTCCTGATTTAATTGTTCCCAAGCAAGTAAAAGATCTTTGTCTCTATCAAACATGGTTTATGGGACAGAAGCTAATATGGCCATAGGGGTAACATTAGTTCTTACTAGTGGCTTTGGTGCTCTTCTTGGTCTTGATTATACGTGTATTATTGGATGCCTTTCCTTGAATATGATTCTGTATTGTGAGTTTTTTTTAGCTGAAACCTACATAAAAACTCTAAAGAATGATCTATGATGAAGGCATTGCTTTCTTATAAGCTTCTGGTTTCCGAAAGTGTTTGTTAATGAAACCATATCTTAAAACATCTTATTTTCAAAGGCATTATCTGCACCTTTGGTAAGCATTAAGGAATTGCTCATTTGTTTGAATTAAGTTGGTTATTAACAGAAGACATGTCTTGCTTGTTTAATTTGATTGTTGCATGTTGACCAGTATTTATAGAGGCAACATTTTCTTCTTATACCTTTTTGTGGTGTATAAACAGATACATAAATTTTTTTCACTTAAAATTAACTTATATGTAATTTTTCTGTCCAGAATTCTTAGTGCATATTCCAAGGTTTCTCCAAAGCCAAAGCTAAGTTCAAACAAAAGGTAAGCAGCAAACTGTTACACTACCAAAATAATTTTTAAAAAATCACATGCTTGTCCATTTCTTCATATTGAACCCCAAGCCACCAGATATACATTCTCATTGTTCCCAATAAACAGCAGATTTGAGATTTCCCGTGCTGTTATCTTAATATAGATTCCTTGTCTTTATTTCCATATATTATTGTCTTCACACTTTCACAGTGAGTATGAAGAACTTGAGGCAGTACCAACCTGTGCAGTGATTGAGGGGCCGCTTGAGCCATCATTTACTGTGCCTGCTCATACTGATGTTGCTGAAGACTCCTCCTTTTTGAATTTCTTTGATGTAAGTTAGCAGTTTGTGTGAAGATTTCATTTCCCAGAGGGATCAGATACAATATTTTGTAGGTATTATATTGAAAACTGTGGATATTAGGTTCTAAAACTGCAATATGCCAAGTATGTACTGTCTCTGCCTAATTCATATTCCACATGTTGCTTCAGGCAACCATGTCCTGCTGTTATCATATAAATGATATAATCCATAATCTCTTGCAAAATTATAACTTTGTATTTCATGTAAACTCGTATCATAGGGCTAACTGCTATTTCTTTATAATTCTATGTCTAGTTCCTGAATTCTAAATGCATTGTCATACCGATACACAAGTTTCTTTCCTTTCCCTCATTAGGTTTGTTCATGGAAAATTCTCCATTCCAAGCTGGGACTGCATTGACCAGTTTCATAATTAGCAAGTGTTTTAGGATATTAATTATATTTAGATGACAAGTGGAGTTTAATAATGCTTGCATTCTTCCCACTTGGTAGATGTTGATTTTTTGATATTGTAAATACAAAATTCCAAGTTAACTCATTAGTTTTAAGTTCTTTTCTAGTGATGTCAAGAGAATGGATGTGGATGTGAGAAGTGATGGGATACATCAAGTATATATGGCACTGATACTTGCATTGTTTTGCAGGCGGTTACTAGTATTGGAGCCAACCCTTCAAAGCCTCTGAATACTGGGCAGCCATACTATGCTTCTGCTCCAAACATAGCTCCAACCTCGCGTGTTCCTGGCCCCATACCCTCTCCTACATCCAATCTGCAGGTCCCTACATCACCTCAATCGGCTCCTTCAATTCCTTCTCTGTCTCTTCATGAAGGTACTGACCCGACTACCATTAAAACCAATCAAGTTGTTAGTCTTGTTAAGCCCTCTACTTTCTTTACACCTCCTTTGTCACCCGTATTGCCAATCAACCCTGTCGCCTCTTCTATCTCTACACCTGCTCTTCATCCTCCTCTAAATCTACAGCGCCCACATGGTACACCAATGCTTCAACCCTTCCCACCTCCGGCACCACCACCATCTCTCACCTCTAACCCCAGTCCTATTGATGTGCCACTGAGCAGAGAAAAAGTTCGAGATGCACTTGTAGTGCTTGTTCAGGTACATTAAGTTTTGTTTAATCTGCTTGGTCAACTTCCTTCTGATGCTGAGATTTTAATGTTTCATTTTCTCTGGGGGGGTTCTTATGACAGGACAATCAGTTTATCGACTTGGTCTACCAGGCATTTTTGAAAGTACACCAGTCGTGAGCGCATTAAAGAATTTGGCAGCGTCACAGACTTGTAGAGCCTGTTGTGTATGATCATTATGCATACACTCCACATGCATGCTGGAGATTGGTGCATTTCTTGTGTCAAAATTTCATTTCTCTATTTTTTTTTTTTTCAGTCTGATCGTAGTTTCATGTGTATTAATCTTGAGACGAAAGTAGAGCTGTCGATGCGGGCTGACGGGGTAGGCTAAGCCTGTTTTGACGGCTCTAGACGTAAGTGAATGTACAATTGTATATGAGTTGGAGTGTGTTGTCATCCACCTTAGACATGCAGATTTTGGTCAGTGTCATGTTATGGCTACTATTTTCTCATTGGCAACAATTAAATTTTGGGAAATTGCTTGCATCCTTTGATTTGCCTGTTGTCATGTTTTCTATGAACAGTGTATTCTTTATAGGGGAAATGACATTTGGTAGTTCTAAATCAGGTATTAGGTATATGCTCTGTTTTTTTCAGTTATTATTGAGTCTATTTTTGTTCCTCAATTACTTTTTGAAGTAGTGGTTTTGGCTTCTTTTTTTTTTTTTTTTTTTTTTTTTTTTTTGGGGGGGGGGGGGGGGGGGGGGGGTTAATATTCTATTAAATTTGGATAGAAAATCAATTAAAAGAAGTTTAAATAGCAAAGGTAACTCGAAAAGCATGAAAATTTGTTTTTTTTTTTTTTTTTTTTTTGTTTTTTTGTTTTTTTTTTTTGGATTTTTTTATGAGTTATAACACGATAAGACTAAACGTGGACATGATATGTCAAGATTAATGAGTTGGAGTTCTAAGCATGAACATGATTTTAAAATGTGTTAAAGGATTGATATTATAGACACGTTTAGTTAATAAGTTTTGGGTCTAACAATACGATATGACACGAACCCGTTTAGACTTGTTGAAATGTTAATATAATTTTCTTTCTAGAAAAAAACTTTCTTATTAAATTTACAATTAAAGACCAAGTGGCTTGTGGTCCACTAGTATTGGATTGCTCCCTTATGTGGGAGGTCTAGGTTTCGAGCCTTGTAGTTTGTATGGGTATCCCCCTTCCTTTGTAATAAAAAAAAATTTACAATTAAATAAACAAAATAGTAAATATATTTAATCCATTATAACTAATGTTAATACTAACGGGTTAAATGAATTTTTAATGAGTTAATTGGTTGACCTGCTAAGACACAAATTTTAACATGTCAACGCGTTAAAGACCCGGGACACATGATGAACACTAACTTGTTACTTTTGTGTTCCATTTTGTGTCGTGCTAATGAATTGTATTACAAATTGTCAGGTCTAGTAAGGATAGACAATGTGTATACCATAGATTGGTATAAGTTTATTTTAGTGTACAATAAAACTATTTTGACTTATAAACTAAAAATGAACTTGTATCAAAATATAATAATGAATATATTAAAATTAAACGTATACTAAATTAAAAAGTAACATACAGTATTATAAAAATGAATGGTCCACTTATTAGGTGACATGGGGTGAAGGTCCTTCCAAGTCCAACTTTATGCAATAGTCCAGCTTTATGCAATATTTATATCATAAACCATGTGCACAATCTCGTAAACCTACGCCATTCCTACTTTTCCCTAATTTTTTTCAATTTAAAATTTCTTTTTGTACTAATAGAATTAATGTATCAAAATATAACATCATAAACTCATATTAAAATCTTTTAAATGACACATATTTTAATAGTTATTTTAATTTTTTAAATAAATCTATAGTACTATAAAATCACTATTATAAATTTATAAAGTCACCACTGTTAGAGGTAGAAATAGGCCATGCCAGGTCAGACTTTTAAAAATTAGGTCTGGATCTGTTAGGAAAAGGTAAAGTCTAGGCCTGGGTTTGGGCTTGAGCCTGTATGTAGGCTTTTTTCTAGGCTCAAGCCTGAGTCGAGATTAGGCCTGGCCTGGCGAAGCCTTTTTAAAAGCCTATTTACTAAATAAGCTTTTAAAAAGACTTCAAAGTAGATTTTAAATAGGCTTTGAGAATATTTAAATAGGCTCAAAGCCTATTTAAAGCCTACATTTTAAAGAATTTTAATATACACCTGTAAAAAATAATAATATTATTAAATTACAATCAACCAATAATTATAAACTACAAAACCAAGTTCATATTTTATAATAAAATGTCCAACAACACATGTTTAATAAGTAGGAGTTCATAATACAAAAATCATACAAGTTTGATAACTTCAAGTCTACAAGTCCATAATACAAAAGTCCATCACAAATTCACAAGTTTTACAACAACAAAAATCATAAGTCCACAATACAAACATGAAACATTAAACATAATAACAACAATAGTATTTTTTTTAAAAAAATAAAACTTTATTAAGCAAAGGAATTAAAATGTCTTACAACTAATGGTCCAAAAGTGACAATAACACATACCCAGCCCTTGAGATTAGGCCTATGCTAATATAAAGAAACTAAAATAAAGGATGGACCCAAGCCCTAACAGGCCAGACCTAAAGAATGAAAGAATAAAATAATGGACCCAAGCCCAACTAATAGGCCAGATCAAAGGAATAATAAATGAAGAAAAATAAATAAATAATAGAGGTGCTGAAATGGAGGCGCAGAATCCCCCTATCGGCATCGCACCAATTTTTGCAAAAACCAGCAACATAACGGCTGTTTCTAGGAGAATAGCTGCACCTGCGTGCCACCATGTACTAGTGCGCCACGCCGCCACCATGCCGCACCACCACAAAGTTGCAATGCCGCGACTCTGCACCACAATGCAACGATGCAACAGTGCCAACACGGCCGCAACGCTTCACGCCCACGTCTCGTCAAACTAAATCTATTGGCTGGCCAAAACCTCCAAGAATGCTGGCCATTTTGTAAGATATCCGGCAGCATAACGGCTGTTGCATGGCTATCTCACAAGGGCAGAACAAAGTGGAGCCGGGCATAGGCCGAACAAAGTGGAGCCAGGAACAGGGGAACCAAGGCCTAGGCGGAACAACGTGGAGCCAGGAACAAGGGAACCAAGGCCTAGGCGGAACAAAGTGGAGCCAGGAACAGGGGAACCAGGGCCTAGGCGGAACAAAGTGGAGCCAGGAACAGGGTAACCAGGGCCTAGGCAGAACAAAGTGGAGCCAGGAACAGGGGAACCAGGATCTAGGTGCAACAAGGTAGAACCAAGGAACCAAGCTTAGCCAGGTGGAACCAGGAACCCAAAAAAAAAAAAAATAGTATTCAAACATAAAATTAAACAAGTCATGGCTTCAACATAATCTCCTCTTGTCCAGAATTCCCCTACACAATGTAAAAAATTGAGAATAAATAATGAAGTCCATTACAAGTTCAAGTGCTCATAATTCATAAATCATAAACCATAAATATTAAAGTAACAAGTAGTAATATAAAATAATATAAAATATTAAAGCCATTTTATAATTTTATAAATATTTAACCATCAATTCACATAAACAACTAGTTAAGGAATAAACAACTAAAGTAATACATTCTTATTTTATTACTGTAAACACTAATCAATGTATATAAACTGTAATTATAAGAGTTAATATAGTTAACTAGTTAAGGAATAAACAACTAAACTAATACATTCTTATTTTATTACTGTAATCACTAATCAATGTATATAAACTGTAATTATAAGAGTTAATATAGTTAACTAGTTAAGGAATAAACAACTAAACTAATGCATTCTTATTCTTATTTTATTACTATAATCAGTTTATCACTAATCAGTATATTCTTAATTAGCTTACTAATTCACAGATTACTGTAATCATTAATCAGTGTATTATTACTAGTTTATTACTTAGCTTCATAATTAGCTTAGCTTAATAGCAATTAACAACTAAGAACAGTAATCAGTGTATTAATTAGTTTAATAGCAATTAACAAGTTATTACTTAGCTTACTAAGCAGATTATTCAACACTCTATAACAACTAAGAACAATAATCAGTAATCAACACTTCAAAATCAAAATCACCTAGTGGCAGTAAATCACTAACCGCAGTAATCAAAATCACACAACAGATTATTCAACACTTCAAAATCAGTAATCGCAGTAAATCACTAACCTCACCGGAGTCAACACCTCGCCGCCTCACTACCTAGCCGCCCCGCCGTCTCGCAAGTCGCCGCCAAGTGTGAGTCGCATTGCAAAGGTTTCCGTTTCGCCTGAGTGGCTGCGTGCCTGCGTCCGTTGCAACTTGCAAGTCCCCATTTCGCACTGATGCAACACGGGATTGGGGATGGGGGATTGCCGGCTTGCCGGATTGGGGATGCCGGGATGCACACTAAGTCTCCCTCGCCAACTTGCCATTTGCGTAGAATCGCAAATGTCTGATCTGATGTCTCGACTTAGTGTTTGACTAGGGTCTAGGGTTAAACAACTATACTTATGTTTATATAGTAGACTATATTATAAATATAAAAAGATAATAGTTATAAAATGTAATATATATAATAATTAAATATATATAATATATGTTTTATATATATTTTATATAAACAGGTCAGGCCTGCAGGCCAGGCTTTTATATATAGGCCTGAGCCTATTTAACTAAATAGGCTCTTAAATGGGCCTGTGCCTAGCCTTTTTATTAAACAGGCCAGGCCATAGGCCCCTATGTAGGGGCTTGACCCATTCCCACCCCTAACCACTGTAAGTTCATAAATCACTACTATAGGTTCATGAAATTACTACTAAGATTTATAAAGTTAGTCTAATAAAGTTACCCATGCGGGATTATAAAATTATTATTGTATGCTCATCAAGTTACTATTATAGGTCAAGCACCTTGTGCTCAGATGGCATGTAGTGACTCTCCCATATAGGAGGTCATGAGATCGAGCCCCAGTAGATGTAGTGTTGACTCTTTGTGCTTCAACCGTTGAGAAAGTATATATGAACAGATATTATCAAACATAGAGCATCACCCTCAACTTGAAAGTTTTCATAGTGATGTTGTTTCAACCATTCATTCAATAGCGTCTCTCTGAGCCATGGCTTCTGCTTTCTTCACCGTGTAGACCCCTTTCCATAGAACAGATTTGGTTGCCACAAAATCACCCCTAAGAATCCAACCATATCTCATCCTTTGACCTTCAATATCAACCGACTTCATCCATCATATTTTGTGTTTTAGCCATCTTTCAATAAAATTCTGATTTGGAGCAGAATTTAAAACATTTGTGATATTCATTTCCTTTCACTAACTAAACAAAAACCACAGCCTGTTATAGTTGACTCGTCTGACCATGAGGAGGTTTGTTGTGGGAAGATAGTTAGTGCAAACTTACCACATGAAAACTTTAATTCTTGGAGGAACCATGATTTTCCATAGCATAGCTCACTCTTATCTTTAATCTTTTACTCTCCCACAACTATAAACTCCGATCTTTTTCCCCCCTCATCCAAATCAGTTTGTTAGGTCTGTTGGAATTGGGGAGCAGGATATCGGTGATTAATTGAGAATCCCTTGCATTGAAAATATCTTGGATTGTTTCAAAATCCCAATTTTGTTCTTGATGGATCATAAGGGAGGAAACAGTAACTTCCTCCAAATATGGGAAATGAGCTATTGTGATCTTTGGGTTGTCCTTTTCTGGTAACCAGTTGTCCCTCCAGATCTTAATGGATTGGCCATTGCCAACCCTCCTTCATCTGCTATGCCTCTTTAGGATCTTCTGGGTGACTTGTAAGCTACTCCATATGAAGGAAGGGTTGTTTCCCCTACAGGCTTCTAGAAAAATAAGAGTTTAGGTAGTACCTTGCTTTTATAATTCTGGCCACAAGAGATGTAGGGAATTTGATCTGATACGCATGCAGCTAGTGAAAGGAGGCCCAAGAGGAATACTTCAACGGCACTAAAGCTACGTGACTACATTTTAATTGTCGTCTCTGTTGCTATAGTAACTATAGCCAAGTAAATAGCAGATTTATTAGGAAGTTGTTAGAATGTAATAAGCTATAAATTCCTTCGTTAATGCAAGAGAGGGCATCACCCTTGTAACATCCCTAAATTTCACAGTAATTTAAAACTTATAAAATAGAGGTGAATACATTGATTAAATCCAAATTAGAGCATGAAGCTATCCATGAGAGTCGGGGTGCTATGCCACACCTAGTTTTGAGAACCTAGGTGCACAGGCTAACTTAACTAAACATAAGAAATCCTCAAATTAATATTCATTACAATCCCAAGGCACACAGACCACTATGAACTAAGCTAAGTCCACGGCTCAGACTAGCGCGCTCCGAAGCTAAGGCTCATCACCTGAAAAACATTCGGTATAACAACCGTCAGCGAATAATGCTGGTAACCCACTCCAACGCGTTAAATACAATATAGGTAGATATAAGAAACTCATTTTGAAACTGGAATACATATATAATCCTGAGTAACTCTAATTTAAATCCGAGGACAGACTCAACAGGCAATAGCAGATACATTCAATATAATCAAACATAAAGATTCTAGCATGCATCCTAAGGTCGCAAGACTACTCAATACAAACACTATCAATACCCAGTTATCACCACAGTCAAACAATCAACAATAGGACACGTATTGGTGCCCACACATATGGTGGTGCCGTAGAACCATTCACATGACCCGAACCTTGAGTTCCATTGTCAAGGGGTCAGTGCATAGCTCTGACATGGCCCTGCAGCACTTTAACTTGTACCGCAGCACAAGGAAGAACTAAACGATTGATCGCAACCAATCAATGAACCGCAGCACAAGGAAGAACCAAACGATTGATCGCAACCAAACTATGGACCACATCCCTATTATTATATATGTTTGATCGCAACCAAACTATGGACCGCAGCCCTATTATTATATATAACAGCCGATTGTTCTCAACCAATCCAACTGCCTGTATAGCCGATCGGTCTCAACCGATCGGGTTAATACCTGGTTGTTCTCAACCAACCAGATAGTCATTATAGCCAATTGATCGGAACCAATTGGGTCATCATGCACAACAACATCGAAGTCAATCACAAGCAACCCACATTAACACATAAGGGGGAATCATCAGGGAACACGTAACCCAACATAACCCATTCATAACAACGACATTAACCCACCCACGACACTCCTACAGGATCATACAACTACCTCCTAGGCCAACGGGATACCAATTCAACTCGCATGCAACACACAAGACTCTTCTATCCTAAGAACGGTACCCGATACATCAAACTAGACTCACAAACACCGACGGGGCACGATGGGACACGGGGAAACATCAAACGGGGAAAAACACCACGAACCACGTCGGGATTCCAGCGGGTAGGTGGCGCGTTGGAGGACCACCCGCCGGCAGTGGGTTACTATTCCAGCGGGTGGCCGGCGGGCAGACCACCGCCCGCTGGAATAGTAGAAACGGGCAGCGGGTAAGTGGCGGGTGTTCAGTCCTCCCACCTACCCCCCACTGATACACAGGAAATTTTATGATCCCGGGATCCCTTGTGGAACCCGAAACCATGTCCAAACACATGTAAACACATAATGACAACACCACGTATTCAATTAACGGGGTTAAACCAAGAATCACAACAAATACGTTCAAACACGATTCCTAAACATGCCAGGACCTAACATCAATCATATAACGGTTCAGGAGCATCCGGAACCCTAGGAACATCAAGAACTCTATATGCAAGACCTAAACACAAGTCCTAGGCTAGACTCAACACTGGTCATGCAAAATCCCACCCCAAATATACCAAGAATAACATAGTACAAAATCCACGTTTTAACCCTAGGGCTCTAGACATAATCAAAATACAAGATCGTTCATATAATTAATCATAGTATCAAGAACATCAAGATTACCACATAAGCATCAAGATCAACATATAAACATCAAGATTATCACAGAAACACAATATAAACCCTAGGCAAAGCTCTATCAGGACTCAAGCACATAATCATATATCAAAGGAGCCAATGAATAAGATATAACAAGGAAAATAGGTTTTGTTGAGACATGGGTTACCTCTTAGCCTTAATCAATATCCTTGGCTACTAAGGTTCTTTCTCTAAGATCTTCTCCCGTGGGTTCTCCTACGTTTGGTGGCAGGGGGATTCCTGGGAATATCTTGTGTGGTAGATTTAATTGTGGTAGGTTTTCTAAATGCTCCCTAAGTCCCTATATATAGGTTTAGGAGTCCCATCTAGGGTCTGTGTAATGGTAAGGATTCACTTATCCTATTCCTTATAGGATTAAGGATTTGGGTTTAAGGATAAGGGTCCATGATCCATAGTGAGCCACATTAATTAATTAAAGGGAATCTTAACCAAATTAAATCATTTCTAATTATTACTAACAGAACCAATTAAATAATTAACCCGGGATTAAAGGCCGTAACACGGGGTTTCTTCTATCTTAACTCGAATCTCTCTCTCTCTCTCTCTCTCTCTCTCTCCCCCCCCCCCCCCCCCCCCCCTCTTTTTCTATTCTGGAGGTTGTTCATCCTCTAAAGTGAACAATAAAACACTTGAAAAACTCATACCAACAATTTCGTGCTTTCATTGAGAGCGAGCATGGCCAATGAAGGGGTACAAATCAGACAACGGGCTCTCGAAGAGCAACTGCAGCAAAAGCATGAGTCATAGAAACAACTCGCGGACGAGCTTCAGCAAACCATGGCCACACAAAATCAAGCTTTATTAAAGGCTCTCAATAATGCCATCACCGGACTTTCTGTTCGCCTCACTACTCTAAATGTCGTACCAGCCTCATCTTCCACCACCCTGCCACCCTCCTGACCACAGCCCCGCGCCAATCCAAGTAACCCATATCAGACTTCGCCCGTTTTGCAGCAACTGCGTCCTCTCCGATGTGATATGACTACCTTTGATGGTTCTAACCCGCTAGACTGAATCTTCCAGGCTGAAAAATATTTTAGCCTTTGGGACATCATGGAAGAACAGAAGATAGATATAGTCAGTTTCTATATGGTCAGGCAAGCACTATCTTGGTTTCAATGGATGCATAAGAACCAACAACTTTCCTCTTGGAGGGCATTCACCCTTGCACTCGAACAACGATTCGGGCCTTCCACGTATGTAAACCATCGCGCTACCCTTTTTAAATTAACCCAGAAGACAACTGTCTCAACTTATCAAACCGAGTTTGAGGTGGTAAGCAATCGGGTCCATGATCTGCACCTAGAAGCGTTATTGGATTGTTTTATCTCTGGGTTAAAACCAGTGATACAGAGTGAGTTAGCTCTGTACAAACCTGCAACCATATCCGACATAATAGCTTTGGCTAAACTAGTCGAAGAAAAGCTTCGGGATACACGCCCTGTATATTCCAGAGTTAATATGCCTTGGAGATCTTCTGGTGCTGCTCCTGAAAACCACACCAAGCCACACCCAGATAACTAACCCCCACTGTTACCTCTCACGCCGCCCGCTAACCACAAACCTTCTCTCCCGATTAGGCGACTCACATCCTTGGAGATTCAAACCCGAAGAATGCAAGGACGGTGCTGTAATTGCGATGAGCGATGCCGACCGGGACACCGTTGCCAAAGTAAGCAATTTTAATTACTTCTGGTTGATGAGTCAACTACGGCGGCTGATGCGGCTGATGATGTGGTGTACGAGGTAGACGTCGTTGAACCCGAAACAGTAGAGCCACCGCGTTATCAACCTGAGATTTCGTTACATGCTATGGTTGTGACCATAGGACCTCACACTTTTTGCTTGAACGCCATCGTTGGTAACCAAACCTTCAGCGTCATGGTTGATACATGGAGCTCACATAATTACCTCCAACCGAGGATTGCATGATTCCTTCACTTACCCATTGATGAAACCACTTATTTCTCTATCGCAATGGGCAATGGCGAAAAACTCCATAGTGATGGTATATGTCGAAATATGTAATTTCGTATGCAAGGAGGAGACTTTGTAGCAGACTTCCATATATTGGAGTTTTTAGGAGCATATGCCATTTTAGGTGTCCAATGGCTAGAAGGTCTGGGCAAAGTAGTAACAGATCACAAAAACTTGACAATGGGATTTGAATACGAAGGGAAGCCTATTAAATTGGTAGGACTTGAAACACCTAATGCCAATCTCTTGCCACAAATTGACATGCCTTTATCAGACCAACGCTATAGCCCACTATTACTTGCTAAATCCCATTTCCACTTGTCCTACCCAAGATTATCTAAACCACCCTCATCCCACTATACACAAATTCCTCAACCAGTTTCCGAATATTTTTAGCATCCCGAAAGACCTTCCTCCTAGCCGAGTACTAAACCAAAAAATTACCCTTTTTCCCCAAGCGACACTAGTGAACGTCAAGCCATACCGCTACCCTCATTTTCAGAAAAATGGAATTGAGCGGCTTGTGTAGGAAATGCTATGAGATCATATCATTCAACCCTATACAAGCTCTTTTTCGTCACCAGTCTTGTTAGTTCGAAAGAAGGATGGATCCTGGAGGTTCAACGTGGACTATCGGGCTCTTAACGCTATCACTGTCAAAGATCGGTTTCCAATGCCAATGGTAGATGAGTTGCTCGATAAACTGCATGGTGCAATCATATTTCAAAGTTGGATTTGTGTAGTGGGTATTTCTAAATCCAAGTTCACCAGTCGGACATTCCAAATAACTGCTTTCAGAACTCACGAGGGTCACTATGAATTCCTTGTGATGCCTTTCGGCCTTACTAATGCACCAACTACATTCCAAGCAACTATGAATTCAATCTTCCACCTGTATCTACAGAAGTTTGTGTTATTCTTTATAGATGATATTCTGGTTTACAATTTTTCGCTTACTGACCATATTCACCATCTCACTATTGTTTTGGAAACGCTTCGCCAACATCAGCGTTATGCGGAACTTTCAAAGTGTAGTTTTGGTCAGCGTCAAATTGAATATATGGGACACTTCGACTCTTCTGAAGGGGTTAGTGTGGATCCTGCGAAGATTCAAGCTGTGATCAATTGGCCCATATCGAGGTCGGTTCCCGAGGTTTGAGGCTTTCTTGGCCTTACTGGATATTACCGGTGATTTGTTCGGGGATATGCCTCCATAGAAAGCCCATTAACAGAGTTACTCAAAAGGGTGGGTTTTCATGGGTACCAGCATCGGACGAATCATTCTAGTAATTGAAGGAAGCAATGACTAAAACTCTAGTTCTGTGCCTCCGTACTCCCTAATTTTGAGCTACCTTTTCATGTGAAAATAGATGCTTTTGGGTGCGTAGTGGGCGCCATTCTTACGCAGGAAAAACATCCCATTGCATATTTCAGCAAGAAGCTATCGCCTCAATATCAAAAAGCTTCGGCATATTACCGGGAAATGTACGGCATCACTGCCGCAGTTTGCCGTTGGCGCCCCTATTTGTTGGGTCGTCCATTCACTATTGTTATAGACCACAAGAGTCTTAAACAATTTCTATCTCAAACCATTTAAACTTCGGAACAACAACGATGGCTTACTCAACTTTTAGGTTTTGATTTTGTCATTGAGCACAAAACAGGCGTCGAATATAATAGTCCAGAAGCGTTATCCAAGTGGACTAGTGAAGCTCAAGCGGATTTGTTGGCGTTATCAACCGCCACAACAGGTTTTCTTTCTGAAATCAAAGCAACATTACTTTTGGATCCTAGGGTATAACATATTATTACTTCTCTTAAAAACAATGCCAGGCCTGCCAATGGTTATTCGTGGAAGCATGACACCCTCTATTTCAATGGAAATATATGTGCTAGAGGGAAATAACTTACGAAGAAGGTTGTTGGACCTTGTTTGAGTGCCAATTTCTATTGGCCTGGGATTTACAAGGATACTCAAACTTATGTGAAAGACTGTTCCACTTGTCAACAAATCAAGCCAAAAAAATTTTGTCCAAAAGGGTTATTGCAGCCATTACCAATTCCTTCACAGGTTTGGGATGATATTTCGATGGACTTCATTTCCTCACTACCGTTGTTTGGTGGCAAATCCGTTATATAGGTCATCGTTGATAGGTTGTCAAAGTATAGTCACTTTTGTGCGCTCCCGGACGGAGTCACGGCTCCACAACTAGATGCCTATTTTGTCCAAGAATACGTACGGCTACATGGTTTTCCAAGGTCCATTGTATATGATCGTGATCCCTTGTTTATGAGTACCTTTTGGAAAGAACTCTTTCGCTTATAAGGTACCGAACTTAAGCCTTGTACATTTTATCATCCACAAACAGATGGCCAAACTCAAGTAGTCAACTGTTGCCTCGAGATGTACATACGAGCTTTTTCTAGTGACTATCCAACTTGGTGGGTAAAAACGCTTCCATGGGCTGAGTATTGGTACAATACTAGTGTTAGTTCATAGCGTATCCGAATTTTCTCCCTTCCATGTCATGTATAAGACTGCCTCCCTCGTTGATTGGTTATTCTCGTGATGGCACCCCAGCTGTCGCACTTGATAATGTCCTTCTAGATCGTGAAGAGTTCTTGGCTACACTCAAATTAAATTTACAACGGGCACAAGAAAGGATGCGTATACAAGTTGATCGCCATCGTCGTGACAAGGAATTTAATGGGGATGATTGGGTTTTTGTTAAGTTACAACCATATCGACAAGGCTCGGTTGCATCGCGTCATGGCCACAAGCTCGCAAAGCGCTACTTTGATCCCTACCAAATTGCTACTCATGTCGGGAATGTTGCATACAAACTATCGTTGCCTGATTCTGTTAGGATTCACCCAGTTTTTCATGTGTCACTTTTGAAATTCTGCCCTAACCTGTCTACAACCACCCCGGTTCACCCCACCGTCGACTGCTCAGTTTCCTATCCCGTTCCACATTTTGGAGCAACGGTTGGTCAAACACAACAAGCAACAGCTTCGACAGGTTCGGGAGAATACCCCAACACCCGAGGCTATGTAGGAAAATTGGGAACTTTTCCATGCGTCGTTTCCACATATTAGCATTGAGAACAAAGATGATTTCGATGGGGTAGGTAATGATATGCATGCAGCTAGTAAAAGGAGGCCCAAGAGGAAGACTTCAACGCCACTAAAGCTACGTGACTACATCTGCAACTGCAGACACTAATATTTAGGATATGCAATTTACTCATTCTCTGCATTTTAATTACAGTCTCTGTTGCTAGAGTAATTAGAGCCAAAAAAAAAAAAAAAGCAGATTTATTAGGAAGTGGTTAGAATGTAATAAACTATAAATTTCTTCGTTAATGTAAGAGAGGGTATCACCCTGAATTCCAATACTTCTTCTATCTAAACTCAAGTCTCTCTTCCCCCCTCCCCCCCCCCCTCCCCCCCCCCCCCCGATTTTTCTATTCTGGAAGTTGTTCATCCTCTAAAGTGAACAACAAAACACTTGAAAAAAAACTCATCCCAATAGGTTCATCCCACCCTAGGCCCCCAATCTTTTGTATAACAAAGATGGTGTAACACCCCAGATTTTCAAGACATTTAAAACTTATAAAATAAGGGTGAAATCTCATTAAATCCCAAAACATAATACAAGGGTACGGGGTGCTATGCCACACCTGAGCTAGAGAACTCAGGTGCACAGGCTAACTAACTAATATCCTCAATAATGTAAGTGCATAAGCATGGCACGCAGGCCGAAAGGGGAGCTATCTACTTCTACGTTCCGAGTTCTAGCGCGCTCCAGTGACTTATTCTTCTGTGCCTGAAAGCCAAATATATCTGTTCAGCGAGAGATGCTGGTAACCCACTCCAACGCGTTGAAATACCATACATATAGAGATATATATAGATATACGAAAACCATTTTGAGCATGAAGATATATCTTACGAACTCTAGCTTTAAAACCGGGAATGACTCGACAGATAAGGCCATACACAAGCAACAGTTATAACAAGCATATGCAGTTCACAACAGACAAGGCAGATAGGGCAAAGCATAAACAATAGCCACAACCCAACATAAACAGTCCCCAACATAAAACCCATAGTCACAACTCTCAAGATACTCATTAATCACAACTCATCCATATCACAACACATAACACACTTTGTTGGCGCCACAGGACCAATCGCATGCCCATACATGAGGGTCAGCGCATATAGCTCTGACACGGCCCCGCAGCACCCTGCCCCGTATCGCAATACGGAGGGGTCGATCGCAACCGACCGATGAACCGCAGCTCATCATAGTGTTTGATCGCAACCAAACAGTGGACCGCAGCCCAAGAGAATGTCATCTGACCGCAGCCAGGAAAAAGGATGAACCGCAGCTCATATAGAAACGTTTGATCGCAACCAAACGGTGGACCGCAGCCCAAGAGTATCAATCTGTCCGCAGCCAGCTTCTGAACCGCAGCTCAGGATAACCAATCCGATCGCAACCGAATTGGGGTAACACACACACATAACACATAGCAAGCACATGCAACCCACATTACACATTGGGAAGGGGGAGAAAACGTATAACAAAACCTATGCGTGACCCATCACATACTAAGAATAGTCCTAAGGGGTTCATACTCCTTCCACCTAGGTTAACGGGATACCAGTTCAACTAGCATGCGATATAATAGACTCGTAAACCTACGAATGGTACCCGAAATATCAAACTAGACATAGGCACGATAAACGGAGTCCGTTGGGACACCACGGGGAACAGGGGAACATCAAACGGGGAAGCCGGGAACCCAAGGTGGGGGAATTTCCAGCGGGTAGCCGGTGGGTGGGGGGCCACCCGCCGGCTGCCCGCCGGAAAGTACTGTTCCGGGCAGCGGGTCGCCGGCGGGCAGCTGCCCGCCCGCCGGCTACCCGCTGCCGGGCGGTGTTTCACGGCCGTGGGTAAGTGGCGGGTCCCCTACCCCCCCACCTACCCCCACTGACTCTTTTCATCACTTTTGCGCCCCGGGAACCATTGTGGAACCCGAAACCATGCTTAGACACCTTACAACGTAATTAACGACAACACGTAGACAATTAACGGATCAAATACGAGAAACGAACGACACATAACCTATCATGCTTTTCTAGACATAATCAACAGCCAAACATGCGATTTCCCCACCCCACAATCCAAGAATCATAACATACGATACAACCTAGGGTTCTAATCACTTTTATGTCAACAAGAATACGATTCGCCTTCTAATTGCAAGATTCGGTAAGGATAACACATAAGCATCAAGAACATCCCACAATTATCAAGAACAACACATAATCATCAAGAACACCATAATTATCAAGAATCTCCCAATATCAAGATTATCAAGATCCCTCATGGGATCATCACGTCAAGCATCAATAATAATCAACAGATCTCGCCATTCACAATAATATGGGGGAAACCCTAAGGGGGGATCATAACTATGAAAATAGGTTTTGTTGAGACATGGGTTACCTCTTAGCCTTAATTAATTCCTTGGCTATGAAGGATCTTTCTTTAAGCTTTCTTGATTTCTTGATTTCTCCTAGGGGAATTCTTGGAGCTCTTTGGGTGGTGAGAGATTATTGTGGTGGGGATTCTAGGTGCCTCCTAAGTTCCCTATTTATAGATCTAGGGATCTTATTTAGAGTCTAATCCTATTGGGATTAGGGGTTGGGTTTAGATATGGGGCCCACGGACTATGGTGGGCCTTTTTCCCTAATTAATCATTATAATTTATTCTTTCTCTTGGGCTATTGATTAATTAACTAATTGGTTTTAGAGGCCGTAACACGGGGTGTTACAGATGGTCCCAAGCCTTCCACCTTATCCTCTTTCTGCTGCCATACTTAACCCCCCACCAAAAAAACATTCATAACCCTTTCAATATCTTTAACCATTTCCTTTGGCAATAGAAAAACATTCATGGAATATGAAGGAATGGCTTGGATTGCACTTTTTAAGAGCACTTCTTTCATAGTTTTAGATAACAATCTATGACTACAACTTCATATCCTATTTAGGATTCTACCCTTAATAAAATCAAAGATTTATTTTTTATTTCTTCCCACTATAGATGGAAGTCCCAAATACTTCCCTAGATTTCCCAACCT